TCTACATTGAACCAATTACAAAACACAGCTCATATTTTCATGAGAAAAAGGTTTTGGAATCATAGAAAAATTAGTCTCATCACACCTCATCAGCCACTTCCACCATAACAGTGGTATCAGAACAATAAACTTAATCTGGGCTGAAATGAGCATGCAACATGTCCAGGAGGAAGATAAAGAAAACAACAGTGCCCCAGTTAAGCTTCCACAAAGCACAGACTTTTTGATCGAAGGAGTGTGTACCACTGACCTCATATCCAAAAATCACATTCACCAAGTGAACTCAGATTTTAATTAAAAATTAAAACAAAGAGAAAAGCCCCCAACCCCCCCCAAAAAAACCCAAACAAACAAAAAAGAAAAAACAAAACAAAAAACCCAAACAAAAATAAATGTCTACAACTTACATCAACACATCGAGCCAAAAACAATGGGTTAACAAGCTTGTAATGTATAACATCTCAATAATGTGTTTATAGGTATTTCAAATGAGGCTCTCACCATGACCCATAATATTTAATGCACTTCCTTCACCATTTTTTTGAGGTCAGGCTATAAGCATACTGTCATCTACAAAGCATAATTATTTCTGCAAACTTAGAAATGCACCGTTTACTACCCAGAATTTCAATTACAGACAAATGTTCAGAAATAAAAGAAATAGTACATTAGACATTCTTTCACCAAAGGTATTATTCTGATTTCAAGACATAGTTATAAAAATTAAGTTCACAATGAAATTATTTTAAGTTATCTTTTATTCTGGTAGAAATATTTTGGTATAAACTCTTCAGCATGTCCATATAGTCTAAGATTACATACATTTTCTCAGCTGAATAGAGATTTTGGCAGTGAATAATCCCATGCATAGAAATCTTTTTATATTTTCTTGCGGTCACCCACGATTGATAACACAACTTTTAGCTGAAGGACACATATTTTACATCTTATTCATGAAGGAAACTAAGGATAGGAATGACAGAAAACTGCAGAAAGATAATACTTGAATTCAATTACTTCCACGATTATTTAAAAAAAATAAAAAAAGGCAAGAGAAAAATGTGATCTTACTTTTGCTGATGGGTTAGTCTTCAGTACTTGGCTTGCCAAAGAAAGGAGAGGTTATGTTGACAGCTGTTCATTACAATTCCTTCTTTACTACAAGAGCTTAACTCTGCCACTGGCTGGCTGGCCCATTTCTGCTAGCTTTAGCACACAACAGTGCTCCTAAAAGCTCCTCCTCTTGACAGCATCTGTCTGGATACAAGCACAAGCAAGGCTTTCCATAGAGCCATTTAGGTCCTGGGAATGAGCTACAAGTAAGGGAAACCATTAGAAGTAAATATTTTGATGACTAAGTCCAGGATTTGGCAGGCAGAAATTCATGCCCACTGACACCACCAGCTTTAAAGGAGAGTAGTGACATCTTCACAGTGTTACAAGTGAAAATGACAACTTCCCTGACAGAAAGAGTAACTTGAATGATGCATAAAAAAATAGAAGCCAGACCTTTGAAAGCATGCACTCCTCAAAAGTTTAGCTCTGATTAATGCAATGTGTCCAAGCCTTCAGAGGAGGAGGGTTCATTATTTGATTCTTACCAAGCTTTTATATTTGTGCAATTAAAAAGGGAAAATATTGGTGAAGTATCCACACAAAACAATAATAAAGTAACTAAATATGTGCATTTCAGTTATGGATGAGTCAGAAGGCAATTGCTCATTCTTACAGATGCCCTATATAAATTCCAAATACTCACCTTTTTCCTGGCACCCACAATAGCTGAGGCAAATCTACCTTCTGTTCCCAGAAATGCTGCCTACAGCTGATATTGTATCATGGCAAACGCACATCTCATGGTATTGCTAGTGAAAATGATACTGCTCCATAACTTTATTTGCAATTTATAGGCTCTGTGGGCAATATGCCACTACCTTCTCTTAATCTGGACACAGCTCCCTGGATAAACAATGATCACGTAATGAGACCAGATGAATAAAAGATGGAAGAAAAAACGTCTATACATTAGGTCCTATATACATATGTATTTATTATGTCTTACTCTCAGCTACTAACCAGCACATTAACCTTATTTTCTCCGCATGAGCTCTAAGCACCATACTAAAATTAGGTCAGAAATTCAGATCAGATCAGCTGACTCAGCCCAGCAAGATTAGACAAAGACTAGTTGAGTTTTTTTCCCAATCCAATATGCTGTGTTTATCTCCCACAATGTACAATGGATCCATACATTTTTCCCCACAATTAACTTATCAGAACCACACACCATGAGGCAGCAATCACTCTGAAGGTGTCATTTCATCAGTGCTACTGAAGAAACACAGCCCAATATATCCTTTGGAAAGCAAAACTTAAAATCAAACAATTTTTTTAGGTCATTTTTCAGATCTTGTTTCCAAACTGCTTAGACTAATGTATTTCAATGAACTTAAGTCATTCAGCACAATTATGAGATGATTTAGGTAAATAACAGCTGCTTCTAAATAGTGTTGTGTGTGAATATCACCACTTTATTAGACAATATATTACTCATTATTATGTTGTTAATATACACAAACAGCCTTCTTCTAATAGAGACCATCTGAACACTAAAATTGAATACCTTCTAAATAATTCAATAATTGGAGAAGCAGGTAATTCTCTGTAGGTGCCAAAGACTTCTGGCTGCTTTATTTTGATTCTCACATGCAAAAGAAGAGTATTGGTGGGAACCCCATTTCCTCCTCAAAAATCTACCTGCAGTTAATCACAGGGGATGACTCCCTTGTTGCTAAGGAGATTGTTTTCAGCTATTGGGAGTCTCCAGACTGCTGGCAGTTACCACTGCACATGTGCACCACTTGCTATCTAGGCCACGCTCTCAGGAATTAGGGATAATATAAATACCCACCGAGATAAGGTAAAGACATAAAGAATACAGTACAGAACAAAGAAGAACTCAATGATCCTACTTAACCTTTCCTGACTGCTGCATTTCAACAGACAACATGGTCTTGGATGAATCTCTGGAGGTTACTGGGGGGGCTGACTCAATTGCAATCAGCCCAAATGACTTCAGGCTCACGGTCTCTTTAGTCAAATCAGGAATTTTCCCTTGGTCTGCCATCGCTTTTAGTTTTTCCAACCAAAGGTTGATCTCAAGTATCTTTTTTTACCTCACCAAGTTTACAAGGGAAAAAGCAAAAAAGACTTCAAGAAAGTTGTTTTCAAGATTTCCTGAGGTGTTTTCCTACTTTTTTTCCTCAGGCAGATATTGTTGCCCCCCTCAGTGTTATTGAGATAAGCCAAATGGGGAGGGATCAGAGGGAGTCACTGCAAACATAGTTTCCCACAGAAGAGCACTGTATTGAGGAAATGTTGGTATCTCCAAACCACATACAAATACATGCTGTTCCTCTAATAAGCCCACTGTGTTGCTGGTCCTCTACCTCCTGTCTTCTGGCTCTGTGACTGAGGATAAATGCTCTGTTTGCATTGATCTCAGTTGAGTGTGGGCAAGAATTTCATGGTTTGGCTCAGCCCTAAATCATCTGTATTTATCCAGAGCTCTTCATCAAATCTCTTTGCCAGGATCAATGAACAAAACCACACAAACCAACCACAGTGTAGGAAATACTGTCACTACTATTCAAATGAGGTAGAAAAGCTTGGCTAGAGGACTATAAAGAACCAAGTAGGTCCACAATTTACTCTCTCATGTCCCAAGAAACCTATTCATAACAAAATCTGTTCTAGTACTTAGTAACCTTTATGGTCACACATATAAAAATGCATGCAAGCAGGTTAGCCAGAGTACAGCCTAATTAGCTGTATTCACCTTAACTTCACAGTATTCTTATCACTCCAATGAAATTACTGACAACCCAAATAGTTCCACTCCCTGGAACATAAAGCAGACATATATTCACTATAATTCCTTCATCTCTTTCCTCTCTCAAACTGTGTGTGCTGCTCTTTTCTTTTTAATGTTCCATCAAAATTATCAGACTACCGAGGCGTTGCTTGAATGTTCACAGCACAGCATGTCTGTTATACCTGGATGTACAGTACCCAAGACATAGCATAAAATTTAATCACTTAAACTGAAATACAGAAGACTCGTGCTGGGGGAAAAAATTCAAAGGACCTCCTATCAGTTTATGGTCAAGCCATCCATTTGCATATAAAAGTTAAGGATTTGGATGAAGGATTTACCTCTATAACAGAATTTTACCTTCACCTCAAGAAAAACCAATTTTTTGTATTAACAAGGGTGTATGTAACAAATATTTATATCTATCCCATTCAACCTTCTTTTCCTCTCCAAGAGGCTGCAGAGATTTCATTGAAATCCATTGGCACAAGAGGCCAGGTCATGCAAATGCTCCTCTCATTAACTGTCAATTAAAATCAATGGAATTGTTCAAGAAGAGCCATTATAGTGTTCTGCCCATCAGGGGCTTGATCCATTTTCCTGCAAGTGATTGCAATATTGTTACTGACTTCAGAGATCACAGAATTGAAAGGAAAATTTAAATAATAGACACTTGTTTTAAAAAAAAATCAAAAACCTCAGACACCAGTTGAAAAGCTTTGAAAATTTACCATATTTAAAACATCAGCTCAAGGAGAGTCGATTTTGACCTGTGAGACTGTCCCTGTCTTGCTCACACACAAATACATTTTTGCACTAAGCACAAACTGTTCTTCTACAGGACTAACAGGATGACAACCCATTTGTCACAGGATCTAAATCTCCTATTCCAAACACCCAAACTTTTTGTTACAAATCACACCTGCTCAAGATGCCACACACACTCAAACTATGTCAACACAATGTAAACCACGTGTGTCAGAGGCCTGACAGAGGCCCATGGTGTGTATTGCTTTTGCCAGCAAGCTGCTTAGAAATCAACTGCTCTGCACATATTTACCATATCTGAACCCCTTGTTTTTCATTCACTCTGCCAGACCACTCATCTTTTTATCAAAATATTTACCGTTTTATTGCTTCTTCTTGTTTTCGGCGTTTTTCACTCTTTTCTTTCAAGTAAGCCAGGTTTGTTTCATTCCTCATGCGATCATTCTCTCGAGCAATGTCTGATGCATTCTGTATAACCAAGCCATCATAGGCCTTCATCCCCATATCTTCAATATACTGGAGAAAAGAGCCCAAAGTGACCTCCTCCTGATTAGAACTCATCATCTTGCAGGAGATAATGAACAAAGGAAAGCAACGTTTCCTGCAGGTTGAAAAACACATAATATCTTAATCAGTAGGAAAATAGCTTATGGTTTATGACAGCAAGATTGTGTCAGTTGTAATTAACATCTCCATAAGAGACAATTTTTCAGACTTTCTCATTTAAAAGATAATAAACAAAGCAATTCAGAACACAGAACAACATTACTCGAGACAAGAGGAGACATAACCAAGAGTCTCTTCTTCCAGGCAATGCAGATCCATACAATTACACTATTTAAATCCCAAAACATTTCCTGCCACCCTTTCCCATTTCCTAGTACCCATCAATTGAATAAGCACTGCCATCCTGAATCTCAGTTTGAATTGAACCGAGAAGGCTCCCATCACAGGATGACAGGTCCCTTTTACAGTTTAGATAAGGCTGCACCAGAGCAGATTACCAGGAAAAATTCCTATTCTGACTACCAGACAAAGTTCCTATTCTGCAGGATATTCTAAAGTTCAGGTGAAAAGTATTGTTCCATTTTTTTAAACAAAAAACTTAAAAGCTTTTTTCAGGTTCAAAATTTAGAAAGAAATACTGTGAAATATTTTCCTGTATTTCTTAGTAATGTGATAGGGAGCCCATAAACCGTGGTCATCTGTTGCCCAACATCTTGTTAGCTTGAAGCTCCAAGAATGGACAAGAGTGCCCAGCTGAGCTGGGACCTTCAGAACAGACCCTTGAAGTCTGCAAGAATCTGTATTCCAGAGGTGTGGCAGACACTGGGGTTTACAGCACCTTGGAGCAGAACACACTTAGACCCCTTGGTCATTCCTGGGTCTGTAGCAGGCAGACTAAAAACTCTACAGAAAGGCCCCAGAGGTTTTCCATTAATCAGCAGAACTCCTGGGAGTTGCAGGAGCAGTAAATACTAGAGGACACTAAATGCAAAGTAGAGTTTCAGGAGATAGACTGCCTCCCTCTAAAGTCTGTGCTGGATAGGACTGGATAAACCACTTATTAAACAAGTTAAATAGAAGTTGAAAAAAAATAGGACCATTCTATTTTATTTTAAATACTGATTATTTTAAGGTGCAGGAGCATTACAAGCTTGACTGGTACTACCTGCACACAGCCCCATGAGGGGCCCTCATCCCACAGCCAGGGGCTGGTGCAGGATTCACTGAGTGACTTGCTGGCAGCCCTGGCAGCTGAACTCAGCTCTCTAAGGCACGTCTGCTTATTCACTGCTACAGCATTCCTCCCTTCCCTGAAGAAGGATGGCGTGGCTTCTCGGAATCAGCCTCAGAACATGCCAACACTACAGCTAGAAAGTATCTTATTGAACAGGAAATAAGAATCCTGTCTGCACACAAATTTTAGGGGCAGGGTTCCTGTGGAATCAGTGACAAAAATCTTTCCCCTATTTCCTAGTATGATGTTATATTTCTAATATTTATTACAAAGCTGGAGAAGTAAAATTCTGATCTAGGCTGGCTATAAATAGATAAATAAATTTAAATGTTCTTAAGGATTTAGAAATCCACTCTGGGCCTTCAGATCTGGGCCCTGACTCTGAAAATTCAGGGGATTAAATGAGTAGACAAATATATTTCTGGTTTTCCCCTATTGTGACTGGGGGAACTATTGAAGTGGCAACAAACGGCTAGTTTCAGGCACTAAATACCTTAAAAGCACACTGATAATTTCCCCTTTTTCTTGCATGTCTGCATATCAAAACAATTTCTGTACAATGGCACAACTGTTAAAATCGTGAAGACTCAGAAGATGCAGAGTCTTCTCCTATTACCTCTCCTGCCTTCCAAGAACAACCTATCAACTAAGCCTCAATGTGAACATAAGGCTGATGTTGAGGGTCACTGAAGTGATCTTTAAGCATTTTCAAACATGGGTATAAGCATCTCCTACTGATCCCTGCAGGGTAAAACCAATGAAGGAGGTCTTAGTGTAGCCCAATGTGCCTGCATGCCATTTCACACAGCTCTGACTGGAGCTGGCCACAACTCTGCTGGGCTGGAATATGCATTCAGCCATTCTATATATTCATCATAAGTAGCACACTGTCTGCTCAGGAGGACGCTAGAAAGTGACACTGAGCTGAACAGACTCTATGGTTCTTCAGCAGACAATATTTTAGACTAATTACTAACCTTGCTGATTAGAAAAGTAAGGCCAGATATCAAAACCCCTTCTGAGTCTCTTGCTACAATGAAGCTACAGCATGAAGGCTACAAGATTAAAACCAATGCTAACAGCACAGACAGCTCTAACTCCCCTTTCTCTGAACTCCTCAAATGATATCTGCTGTTTCATGGTTAAAATCTGGCTGTTTCCCCAGTAGATGGCTATCTTATTGTGTATTCCATTTTGGACTTCTGGTAAAACCTTGTTTCTGCATATGTTGAATTAAATTCAAATAAACCTACACAACAGAGAAATCTCACCCTAGTGACCTGAATGGCAGTATTGCCATTGATTGCTTCAGTGACCAGGGTCTACTCCTGAAATATAATAGGAAATTTTATACAGAAGATAACCTCAATAGGGCTTCAGTAAATGCAGTTCTCATCCATTTTTCCCCAAGACACATGATATGTTTTACATGGTCTTTTGTGACTGAATTTCTTCCCCTCGTTTTTTCCTTTCTTTTTGGAGGTCAGAAATGAGCTGACAATTAAGGATATGCTGAACCTCCTTGTATTATGATGTTTATTTTTTAAACAGGAGGATGAAGTCATTCCAGTTGCAAAGAGAATTAAATAAAAAGCCCTTATTCTGCTTAATAAACTGAGGTGAGACTTTATATTCTGGTTTGCCACTGATGCTTTTTATTACTAAACTCATGCAAAAACTTACTATTTACTAAATATTCTTTGTCCTAACAGGGGCCCAACCCTACAGCAGTACCGAGCAACTGTAGCTGTTGAACTCCTCCTGTGACTGTTGATCCTTGCATTGTTGTGACACCAAATTCAGTTTGGGGTACTCCTGAGGGGAGCTGAGGACACACAGATGTCTCAGAGCCTTGATCCTGCTCCTATGGCACTGACTCCAAAAAGCCTCAGTGCAAGCAGCAAGCATTTTCTGATTCAAACCCCTTGTACCTCCCGTGTATGTGGTATTTTACAGCCCCACTACATTTACTAATAGTGTGCAGTTGTGCATGCTATACTTAAACAGGGATTACAAATGCAAACAGCAGGTGCAAAAAGCTTAGTTAATTACTGTTAACATTTTTACAGTCTTAATGTTCCTTGGGCAGCACACTAGGACCAATTTTACTTACAGGTATAATGCCACTTCAGAGAATATGTTACCATAATAAATAAATGTCCTCAATAGCTGCAACAGCTATATATGTGCAATCAACACATATGGCCCCTGGAGTCCCATGCAGTGCCTGCCTGTCCCCTCCTTGGAAAATGGCTGGACAGCACTGAGCAAAGGTTCTGGTGACCAGTAAACTCAGGCAGTGAGCAATTCCTAACCACTTGCCAGGGCAGACACAGGCACAAGCAAGGGTTCTGTTTGAGTACTTTCATATTTGATTAAAACCATGCAAATGCAAATTGGTAAATAAGCCATGTAAGCTGAGGCCCCACAATCCTGGTATCCCTAACATGCACACTGTGGTCAGGGATTTTGTTAGCCAGATACAAGGACTATACAGTGTCACCTATGTATTTGTAATTAAGTTGCTTTCAGTACATTTTGTTTTCTGAAATCAAGCAGTACTGGAAAATTATAACTGGGAGCTGTACCACTTGAGAAATTCTTTAGACACTCCTTTCTTTTCTCCTCCTTATTGTGAAGCAACAAAAGGAGACCGTGGGACAGAATAAAAGCCTTGGACTTTAGCTATTGAAGCTAACATACTGAGAAGTGAACAAAAAATTTTTGAAGGAACTTTGTTTTGAGTGTTCACTGAACATGAACATCTTTGAAAATCCATCTGAGCACAAGGACACAAAGAAGGCATTCTCCATGATGTACACTTTGCTTCTTAAAGACTAACACTGTGAAATCTCACTGAGAAAAAGCCACAATCACACCCAGGTGCCCACTGACAGCTGCCTCTTCAGGTACCCCCAGATCAGAGGGACCCTGGCAGAGGAGCACAGAGCAGCTCGCACCGGCACGGCTCACACATTCATCCATTCTGTCAGCATGGGAGGAGTAAAGCAAGAAAGATTTTTTTTTTCCTTCCCTGCCAATGCATCTGGTTTACTGGCAAGGGCAAGCAGTCCCCTTCCCGGTTTGCCTAGAAATATTTACATAACTAAATTCAAGATTATTGTATTGATTCAGACACAATTTCTGTGAGAGCAGAGTGCGTTGTGTTTCACAGGATGGTTGCATACCTTACTTCTAATATAACCTTTTGCTCTGATGCCACATATACAGCATTTTTGATCAAACCACAAACCACTTCCTTTTCATATGATCAGTGTGCAAAAATATTGATTTCAGAATATGAGTAATTGACTGAATACCAAGCAGTGCTACACGTGAAGATTCAGACATGCCATTCTCTCTCTTATTCACATCAGGATCCCCAAATATCAGTTGCTTTTCAGCTTGCTTGACAGCCATAAGCTGCAGCTGTGCTGCATTGAAAATTGGCAGTGCTTACATTAAACTGAAGGAGCTTTTTGAAGTAATGACAAAGGCACTGATTGCCTTCTTCCAAACCAGAGGGATATTTTTTTCTTTTTAAAATTTTAACATAGGAGAAGAGACCATGGAAAAACAAGTGTGGGGTTGCCCAAAGTCCTGAGTCCAATCTCAAATTTATAAAGGCCTACTGCACACCTCTCCAGTACTGCCCGATTCCCTCCCAGACACTGTCTCCTCTCTTTGAAAGAACATCTGCTTTCTCATTATATTGAACTCCTTCCACTAAATTCATGATATCAGAAGGATTCTGCACAAACAGGGATGATTCAACCCTCGAGTCTGAGCTGTTGTATTCTAGCTTCTTGCAAGAATAAAAGCAGACAGGCCAGCCGTATCCAATTTTCACAAACTGCTGACCACAGCAGCACTAATAAGGACCTAATGGTATTGGGTGTACAAAAAAATACTTCCACTGCAATCAAGAAAAAATTTAGTGAGGGAAAAATATACTAGAGACTACTTTGCAGAACTCTGTCTCCTATCAAAACTGTGCCTTATATCAAGTGATATATGAAATACCCAAACAGGTGAATGTGATGAGACAAACCACTAAGACATGCCTTTTAGAGTTGCATTCCCTGCTCATTTTTAACAATAAAATGACATTTCTGCTTCCACATGCAGTGATGCCGGAAATTATAATGTCAAAGAGGAGAGACCTTCTGAATTCAGCTGCAACTTTCCTACTACATATAATTTGACAACTGTATATGCAGATATTTAAAGAAAAAGAATCAAGGAATCACTACTGTAATTTGTAAGTACAAAATATACTTTATATTCTGGCTGGGATTACAGATTACATACATGGTGCTCATTATATTGCACAGCACAAGCTCTAGCACCTGGGTGAAATCACTACAGCTAAGTAGTGCTGAGCCCTTCACTTAAAGAGGTTAAAAGTGTCTCCTTCAGTAGACTGAAATTGCTAATGCATGAGTTTAAAGGAACAGTTAATTTCTACAGATGTCCTACCTTCTATAGGGGAAAGCTATGTTTCCTATAGTTTTAAGAAACAAAAAAATAACCTGGGCCTTGAATTTTGGCCCCCTTGCAGGTACCTTTTGAAAAGGAAAAAGGTCTTTGCTAACAATGACTCCTCTGTGAGTCCAGGATGTAAAAAGCTGTTGTTTACTTTGCAACACTTTTATCACTTTTATTCCCAGAGGAAAATAAAGGTTCCTCCTAAGTGCGCGGATGCTGGACAATCACAAACCTAGATTCAGAATGGCCAGAACTTAAGCACAATTATGACTTTTCATCATTCCATTATTATGCAGACAAGTCATAAACAACAACAAGAAATAAAACCACACAACAAGCAGACATATACACACATTCTCTATGCAAATAGGAATGCATTTGGACTCAGAAGAAATCATGAGCTTCTTGCTGATGGACTTATTTTTGTTCCTCCTCTTTAAGAAAATGAAATGGAGATTTTACTACCATCAGCATCATGTTAAGATGCTGTAAAATATTAATGGTGCAGTAGATCTGATAAGTGACTATCATAGATGTTAGAAATTATTTCAATTAATTCATCAGAAAATGTAAAAGAATGGTTTTAATTATTTAACAGTGCTTTTTAAAAACAAAAATAAAATCAGCTGCCAAATGTCTTTATTACAAGCACAATCAACATGTGAAGTACACAAGACCAAATAGACTTCAGCATTTAGTTTAGCAATGGCTTGATTAATACCTTCTAAATATACATGCAACCTCATCACTGTGCATTCTGACAACTCATTATTTCATTTTGTAGTGTTATTTTTTTCATTCTAATTAGCACCATATTTTCTTATCATGCTCATATGATGTATTAAAATAAGTACATACCAAAATTCAAGTCCACGGGGACCGCTAAGTGCAATAATCAAAGGTGACTTTTGCCTGTAAAAGCCCTTTCCTGTGGTTTTCTCAGTGCAGTCGGAAGGGATATTTCAGCACCATAAGAAACAGATTTTCAGTTAGGCTCAGTTTTCTCTTCAGTTAAAGTGCATTAAATCTTGTTGGCAGAATTGCCCAGATTGTAGAATTCGACATCACTGTAAGTCAATGTGTTATGTTACAGATCTTCTTAACATACAATTAAAATGGCATGGAAAGTTTGGCTTAAAAAAATGAAGTGGAAAGAAAAGACAGGTGCTTGCTTCTTTAAATCCACATTCAGAGAGGAGAGGGTACAGATAATGGGAGGGTATAAACAACACCCTGCGTTGAGGTCCAGCAGAGAAGAAACTGGATGATTTTTACCCACTTTACAACACAGACGATTACAGCACCATCAAATGCACTAACACAGAGATTTCTAAGGTGCCTCATTTGAAAATGTTCTGTGGAGACAAAAAGAAAGGAATATGAGGAACAGCAAATATCCTATCCAAATGGCTTCTTGCAGCAGGAAAGATGCTTGCTTGCTCATTGCCACTTACAGGTCTGAAACAGTCTGGCTCGTGGCATCGTCTCTGTCTCTCCCCCGTGACTACAGGCAGGCTTGCTCTCTCCAGCTGCCCGGGTCCGTGGATGCCGCTGTTGATTAATCAGGGATTCTCAAACAAAGAGCAAGCCTACCTTCGGGTGCCAGCAGGACTGTGGGGCTCCTCTCCGGCTGCAATCCGGCTGCAACCAGCATCCCAGCACCTCGGACAGCTCCGCCGCGCCGGGCCCATGGACACGCGGCACGCCGGAGCAGGGGCGCGCCGGCAGCCGGCGCGGCAGCGGCGCCGCTCCTGCCTCCGAGGCGCGGGCGGGCACAGCCTCCTAGCTAGGCAACAGTCTCGCCCTTATCGCCACTGCACTGAAGTCTGATTAGCAAATAATCCGGTGAGGGGGGGGAAAAAAATCTGCATGAGCACCACTGTACATCACATGGAGTCTATAGGTAGGAAAGAATATGAAACAACGCCCTTTCCCCCTCCTTCTCCCTTCCCCAAGAAAAGAGGAATTGTTCTTCCACGAAGAATGTGTAAGTTAACCTTTAGCCCATATTATGGCTCAAGGAAATGAGTAGCCACTTAAAAGCAACACCTAAGCCTCAGTTTGATACCTCATATTGATGTATCTTTTGCACTCACCCTCACTGAAAAGCAGTGCAAGGCACACAATTACTGCTGACGCAGATGAGAATGCTGCTTGGGGAAGGAGGGGAGGAGCTTCTCAGCCCATCAAAACAACCTCCCACCACCTGCTCCCATTGCACGAGAACAAAACTACGCAGCTCGGACAGACTGAGCGTGACATTTATGCCGTTTTCCTTATATTGACATACACACTCTGGAAAGAATCATTCTGTTTCAAAAGCATTCAGGGTGAAACTACACAGTTTTATGCTCATCCAGAATTTGTGTAATGGTTTGGAAGAAAACATTTCCTTTCTTCTGAACCGGATCAATCTGTGTTATAGCTCCTCCCTGCAGAGTATGTGCAGTTTTGCTTTCTCTCCCCCAAACCTGCAGCCTGGACACAAAGCAAAAGCGTTCACTCCCTGCACCAAAGCCAGGGAAAGGAGCGATGGCTGAATGTGCACAGATTGCATTACCCCACTGTCAAATGGTGTTTCATTCTTTCTTCCTTCTTAAGTTACAGGCATATTTTTCTCAAGCATAAATCTTGATTCTGATGTTACAGTAACACTTGAATTTATTCCTAAGGCTAGTAACAGAAATTACTGTCATGGAATGAAATCCTTCCAAAGTAATGCATGTTCACATGAAAACCTGTACTGGTATGCAAATAAGACCTCACCTACAGAGCACAGGAGAATTTCTTGCAGATTTACTACCATTCATTTCATGCTCACTGTAATACTGTGTGTCCCAGCACACTTCATGCAACCCTGTGAAACAGGGCAGTGAGTTTTCCTCATGATATCTCCAAGAGACCATTTCAAAAGGATGTTTTAAGAAGGGCTGCAAAGTCAAAAGAACAGGGTGGAGGACTTTTCTTTGTGTTAAGGGAAAAGATCTGGAAGGGAAGTACCTACAGGGTAGAACTGGAGGCGGTCCTGTGAAGAGAGCTCCTTCCCTAGCCCAGAGGCTAGCTCCCAGCCCTGCTTCTGATTTTTTACTTCCTTGAAGGATACCTTAAGAGCAGCTGTGGCCATATGGTAATTGGGAAACTTTTTCATCAGCTAGAGATTCCTGTCACATAATAGCCTCTTATTCCCAATACTTTTCCAGAATTAAAGATCATCTCTATCTCTGCCCTAAGTCCATACACTGAAAACAGAGAAATTGTGGAGTCAAACTTCTTTCCAAGTTACTTTAACAAGGATATCACTGTAAAGTCATTACAATTCATAAGCAACTTGAAGAACCACTAATGTTAATCTCAGTGTGAAACACTTGCCTGTGTTTTCACCACATGGTTCATCCCAGTAATTGAATTCCCTCAAATACAATCCTTTCCCTGGCTACCCATGTTACTGCACCTTATGGCAGTTTCCAAATCTTCTCTTTCTTGCACCAGGGTTCCTGGGAATCATGTGTCCATCAGCTGTGGAAGGAAATGTCCGTTTTTCTTTCCAGCAGGATTGTGGGAAGGGCTCTGGAGTTATGACCTCTGCAAGACTGACAGTTCCATTCCTGGTTATTGCACACAAAAGCTTCTAATTTAGTTCACAATCCAGAAAAAAGCACCTATAGAATAAACATGTCATTTTCTGCCTCAATGATACAAGGGCTGGGTCAAAGTTCAGGTAACACGTTTTGTGTTGTTCATTGTTTTTTTCCACAGGTTTTTACAGAATACTGCTATTCACCTTTAAACATCTTTAATGACAACTCTAATGAACCCACAAATGGCTTTCACACCTTGCTTATAAAAGAAACCTAATCAGCACAAATATATGCACCTCCACAAATCACTACCTGTGTTCTTATGCTGCAGAGGCAAACACCTGCCTTCCAGGCCTCCGAACAGCCAGCAGGGGAGAACCGTGCATTCCTCAGTGGCTGCCAATCCTCTCTCCCTACCTCCTTTGCTCCACATCCTTCCTGGAGTTTACAACCACTCAATTCCAGCAGATGTAATTACTTGCATTTGCTTGGAATTTCTGAAGCACATGTGCAAGGCTTCATTACATACCTGAAAGATTAACCCATTCTGTTTCTGTATGTATACATGCTCACACACATATACAACATATATACAGACAGACAGATGTGGTTTGACCTGTGGTTGACATTTGCAAACCAGGAAAAAGAATATGAACTATGTGCTCTGGAACTGCTCATTGGCAACTACTCAAAATAGTTGTGGGATACCCCAGTCTCTGCCTGGCCATGCTGGCAGTGGGCTGGAGCACAGAGTATGTTATGAGGAGACAGAAAACCTCTGCAGGAGGCTCCTTTGTCCAGGGCATGTCAAGTCCTTTCAGCATCAGTGACAGGTTGAGGATTTGCAAGGCCTGAAGACTGCAGGCAATGCAGAGACAAAGGGCTTTCAAGAGGAAGAGAACATTCATTTAAGATGCTAACAGACCACTTAGTGACAGAGAAAGACAGTCTGCCTGTCCCTGAAGTAAGGGAAGCTTGAAGACAAATGGATTAGAGTCAGTGCCAGTGACTCTGTTACTGCTTGGCTGGTGAATGGAGGAGGAAGACTCTCCAAGAAAAGCAAATCCCATGTTTCCAGGCCTAAGCTTCGTAATACCTGAGTTGATACAGAGACTGTTATGTAATTATTTACATTTATGAGGGTCAAAAAGAACAGGTTTCTTGTCTTTGAATGCACCCCCCAGGTTACCTGTAGCTTCTCCAGAGAAGGCAGTTCCATGACAGATTTCTGTATCTGACCAACAGACCATAGATGAAGAGTTCTAGGAATGGACAGTCCACAAGTTCTAAAAAAAAACCTTAAATGAAAACCAGAAACTGAGGACTTAAACCTTATAAATTCCCAACACCTAACCTAGAAGACCGTGGTAGCAATATACATCCCTGTACCCAAACCCTATATCCCAGTGAATGGGAAGAGAGAGGCTATTGAACAAGACCTGTTCATGCAGCAATCAAAGGAGACAGGGATCCTATCAGTCAGGTTTTGCCAAGACCAGAGGCTGACTAAGCCAGAATCATCCCAGCAGAAGCTAAGCATTGCCAGTTTACCCACACTTACAACTACGACACCATCAAGATACTGGTTTTGGCTGTTAAACAAATTATTTGGCTAAGCTAAACTTGGTTTTATTCTTTCTCCTGTACAATGCTTCCTTAGCTTCAATTGCTTTTCCATGTCTCCCGTGTGCTTGGTCCTGACTCTTAGGTTTTGTTTCTGCCAGTCTGCAGTTGCTCTAATCACTTCATGCCCCTTGAAGTATGGATTCCTTGCCTGATGCCAGGCCACAGCTCTTAACCCAGGCCTTGCTACTATCCTTGACTTTTCCAGCAGTGGCCTTTAGCTTTTCTTGCTTCCAATACCCAGAATTGAGTTCTAATCAGTCCCAAATACTAAGTCTCTTCATTTCCCAAAAAAAGCATAATTTCGTTACAGCTACTATCTTGTCCATGTGTGAGGCAAGTGAAATTTTCAGTGACAGTCTTGCCTATGCATCATTCTAAGTCTCAGCTTAGCAATCACTGTGATGGGCCTTTAGCACCAATTGAAAAAAGCTCCTTAGATTTTTATTTGGATTTAAACATGATATTAAACAAAGCATTAATAAATATTTTTAAATGGAAGTGAGTTCATTTGAGGAAAATGCATCAAAAACAAACTACATCAAAACCCAAGAAGAGTGCTTACCATAGCTTTGACCTTAAACAACCATCTCTTTTGTTTTTTCATGCTCTTAGTAGCCACCTACATTCATGCTAAGCAAAAGGAAAACTTAAAGATCTATTTTCAATTAATTTTCAGCCTGACATGCTGAAATACTAAATCGAGCCTTCAAGGCTACTTTTCCCAAATTATTTCATTCCATGCCCCAGATAAGCTTTAACATTCATGTTTTTCCCCCTTAAGCATTCTTATAAACCCTTGAAGTTCTGCAGTTTCTCCCTCTCCCCTCGTTTGCCCCTCTCACTCCTCACACACACACACTGCTGCCATGACAAGTAAAGCTACTCACACGATGAGAGTAAAGGAAGCTCTCAGTGCTCCATCTTGGCATTTGTTTCAGCTATTTCACATCGCTCTGCAGCATTCTCTAACTTCCCTGGAGCACACTGGCTCTATCCCCCCAGCAACAGACTATCCACCACTATCACGCACATTTCTCTCTTCAGAGTTCTGAGGAGGATTCTTCTAAAGGTAAAACAGTAGAGGGGTCCCTACTCATGTAAAAAGCCAATTAAAGTTAAATGCTTAACTGCCATCTGTGCCTTTAAGAAAAATCTCTTAATTTTCCCCAGTGATCAGTTTTTTTTCTCATGGGACCAATTTTGCTGTTATTGCTTAGGCAAAATTCCCATTGAAGTCCACAGGGAACTTTGCCTGAATACAAAATATGGAGCAAAACCTTGTGCTTATTTGCACAGACCACAAATCAAAAAAATCACATCCTGATGCAAGTGATTTATCCTACATGACAGCTAGTG